AATATATAGGAATTAAATAAAAATATTACTAGTAGCTTATATTTATTAAGATTTGTTATTGTTGAGAATTTTGAGTACCACAATCCCACACAAATGGAAGCGATAAAGAAATTGAGACAACAATTTAACATGATTCGACTTGTACACTTCTCAACAAGTCTACATCCATGAAAAAGAGAGAAATAAATCCACTATTAAGAAAAAGAGTATAATAATTAAGAAACTCTCTAACTCAAGAAACCCTCAACACCCTAGTTTCAATGTATAAAAGCTCCCAATTCTCCTTAATACTCTCTCTTAATCTACACAAGGATTTTTTCACAATTTCTCTCTTTCTTTTCTCTACAAGAGCTCTCATTCAATTTCTCTTGCTTTCCCCTACTATGACTTGCCCATTGCTTTTGCATGCATGGGTATTTATAGTGAAAAATCCAACCACCCATGCACCATTTTTCTTTGCCACATTACCACCAACGCATGATTTCAACATAGCAATCCTAGCCCACAGCTAGCTAGGTTGGTGAAGAAATTTCACCACATGGAAAGTCCATATGTTCACATGCAAAGTCCATATGTTCACATGCAAAGTCCATATGTTCACATGCAAAGTCCATATGTTCACATGCAAAGTATCAAGGATCAAATATAACCTATCCTTGATTGTACCCGAAAATGTTCACACTATAGGCACAAAAAAACGAAAAGAAAAGAAATAGGCCTTAGGCCTCGGCCTGCTTTTTTTTATTGTTTTGCCTTAGGCCTCGGCCTGATTTTGTTTTTCGGCATTAGGCCTTGGGCTCTTGGCCTGCTGAGAATTCAATTTCATAACACAAGCCCAAGCTCAAGACCAAGCCCAAAAGAATCTCATATCTCTTGGACCTTGGAGTCCATCCCGACATCGGAGTGTTATCGGCGCTATTAACCATGCTGGTGGTGGTGATGCTTACGCTTCCCAGATAAGGATTTATTGTAATGGTTTTGTAAGTTAGCTCTTTGTTGT